TCTGGCACGGGTAGTGGGGAATTACTTGTCTAAGGAACTGGTTGGCATGGTCAGGTATTGATAATTCTGCCGTCAGAAACTCATGCAATCCACATATGTGATCTACAAGTAGGCACCAATCCAAATGGTAACTACATGTATCTGGGCATTGCAATAAGCCTTTTGCAAATTAAATTTGAATAAAATCTGGTACACTGAGTTATCTGATTGCACATAAACATAACAATTTGGATTCCTCAGACTAAAGACACTGTTGCTATACCTCATGATTCAGGGCAACCTTTTGCACAGCGACTACCATCTCTGGAATGGACTGGTTCCTTTGTGCCCTTCTTTTCCATTGAAAACAGTGTATTGTTGCCAGGCATCTCTTAACTGAGCAAAAGCTTGCCCCAATTCATTCAGTCCCTCAATTAATCTATGAACAATGTAGGTTCCTAAAAACCTGCTGGAAGGTTGTCTCTCTCCTGCACGTATGCAAAGCACTGATTTTGTCCACATAATTCCATTACCAGTCAACAGGTCTTGTCAATCATTGGCTATTAAAAAAGCAACAAATGCCTGCCTTTTTAGCACTGTTCATGCCTAGGGATATTTATGTTTGATGAAACTTGAGATCTGACTTTGGACAAATTCTAAATTGCTTTGTAGAGAAGTTCTTCTCTAATTTAGCAAACTGTGTTAATAATTTGAAGTTCACCAAGAACAGTCAAAAGATGTCACTTTTACAAAAATAAATAAAAATATCCACCAAACTCTTTTCACAGGAGTAAACTAAACTAAACTTATTCATAATTTACGAGATGAATCTAAATTTAACTATAAAGAAGCCTTTTTTTAAATTTCATTTACAAACTTTTAGTATGTGGTATATTTTATAGGGTTCTGCAATTTCTACACTGAAATAAAAGCCACTAATTACAAGGACAATCCATACCCTGAGGTGACAGCTACTCGGACAATGGTAACTTACATAAACTGAGACCCCAATCAATCCTACGACACTTCCAATTATCAGCACAGTGCCGTAATTTCCGACTCCTTCCACTGGCTCTGTGGCCATCAACCTCCTTGGGGTGAGTCTGGTAGGTTTACTGGGTACCACAAGAAACACTGGAAAGAAAGGGATAAAAAGGTCATCAGTGGTGGTTACATATTGAAGTGAATCGGTGAATCTGCCAGAACTAAAGTTGAGATGATCACAATCCGCAACTGTAGTGCTGCAGTTGGGCTAACCCAACTCCAGTTGGTGAAGTTCAAATAAAATGTCCCAACTTCCTCCATTCCTCATGTCGTTCACAACTGGCAGAATTTACCAGAAGTACTTGGTCTCATGGTCTGAAAACTTCTGTTAAACTGATGTCCAGAGCTATAGGTACCTCAAAGGTTACTCTAACAGGAAAAATGTAACTGAGAAGAGTTTGCATCAATGGATCATTTACTGCAAATCTCAATTAAAACATGTAGTACTACCATAATTACAACCCCACATAAACAATAGCTCCAAGTCACATGGAGTAGAGACTTGAGCAAGGAAAAATGTAGAAATACTGAAACGTACCAAAAAGTTGCAACAAGTTACATGAATTGATTACCTGGGTGAATACTGCCGATTAACAGCTTATTGGCGATGTAAAACTCAAAATTTCCAACAAGCAGATTGTGATATATTAATTACCAGTGTTACTTACCGCAATAGAGGGGCTGCATGGGGCGCCCTCACAGAGGACAGGTCTTTGCTCCTGTATGATATTTTTGAGCAGACCCTATACTGTTGACAGTATAGGGTCTAAATAAATCTAACAAATGTCCTCTGCGAGGGCGCTCCATGCAGACCCCCTATACACTGTATCTAGGAACTGAGTAGGCCTATGAGTCACCATAATTCAGGCACTGAGTACTTTGATCTAAATTTATTCTTAAATAAACTAAAATTTTTATGGCTTCATTTTCAGTATTTAAAAGTTTGACCAAAATTCTACATGGAATAATATGAATAACATCAGATGTCAACGAAGCAACAGGAACGTCATCTGCAAATGAGTTGGATCGGCTGTAGTAAAAACTACGTCACCATAATTCGCACACATACGTTGCAAACATGACTTAACAGGGTATCAGTAATGCCTTACTTCTGAAAATCTGCCAGTTAATGTCTCTTAAATGAGGAATCATTTTTTGCATTAAGTACTTTGGTTTAGTGATACAGTTTTAGGAAAAAACACTTTTATTTGCAATCACTTGTCTTCCCATCACTTTCTCTTTTTCATTCTCCTATATTTAAATTTTTTTTCAATTTGATTTGAAGTTACAGTAAGACATGAATTTATCTTTCATATAAATCATAATTAGCTTAAATATGAGTTATTTATCTGGATATTTTGACAAAACTTCTCTTTTTAAGTGTATTTCTGAAAAAAAATAACAATATACAGTGCCACTGAATCTGTGCCCGTCGTCGCTAACGGGAATCTAAAAATATAAATTGCACAGTACTTTTTTCAGGCTCCTTGTTTTGATAACGCCCTCAATATTTGGCAAAAGTTGATTGTAGTCTTCATTAGTGCTTGTATCAGACGTCCAACATCGATCATGAATGAACAGCGATCATTTATCCATTTTACTGGTTCATTTTTGTATTTAGTCTGTAAAGTAATTTAGTAAACCTTTTTGCTCAGCCTTTATTGACATTTTTCACGAATTTTCCTGAAAAAGGTTTATTCGCACATAGCTGCAAAAAGAACAACGTCAAAGTGACGATCGATCATCAACAGCAATTAACATCCAGTGCATATTTTGGTAAAGAGTTTCACGATGAGAAAGTTGGATGCGCGAATATTTGTATGCGCAAATTTCAAACTGGCATGACGGGCATGATGGACATGCATGACGCGTCGGAGATAGATAGAGAGCAGGACTCGTCTGGGAAATGGATATGATAAGCAAGGAATTAACCTTCTTCCATCCTTAAAAACACACACTTACCATTACTCAACTCTTTTTTCTTCGCTAAGGATACAAAATTTCTCCTTAGAGGCGCAAAGCCCTGGAAAAGCGATCTACACTTGTACATGATTTTCACCAATGGGCCAACGTGCTGATAAATTCACGCGTTGTCGACGAAAGCCTCCTAAAACGCCGGTAGTCTGTAATCCTGTTAACATCCTGTACGTTTTATTTAGCACTGATAAGGAAACAAGACTGCTATCTGCCACTGCTGGGCCTCTGCCCACGTGATTTACTGCCCTCTGTTGGTTATTATTATATTAATTAGGATATGTTTCAATAAAACTTTTATTGAGGAAACTGCCCCCTAAAATGAGTGGTCATAGTGAACACAATCTTACTTTGCCTCAACTATTAAACATTCAAGGAAAGAAGCTTGTGGATATTTCTATTTTTGGATAAGAAATGATAGCTCTATCCCATTCAGAGACGCTCTCTCTTATAGATTGATTCGGGGAACAAACTTTGTGATTTCGAAAAAAAAAACGCATGTTTATTCGAGGGTGTGTCATTGTGGGATTTATTTCTATGTGAGTCTCGGGAGGGTAGAAATAAAAGGAAGAAATTAAGATAATGTAGACAAGGAGACCAGCTGCATCCGACTTTGTTGTCTAGAGCTGGGTCTATGGCTTCACGCAATTGGAAATAAGCGGAGACACTGAGAAAATAGACCAAGCCGTCAGAAAATCGACACAGCCTGCGGTGCGGCTCGCTAGCGTACTGCGCGAAATGGGACTCGTCGTCATTGGGCGTAGGAAGGACAGAAACTGCAAGATCCTAATTGAAAGTGAATATTAAAATTTCCATTTTCCAATGTGATCTAAGTAAAATTATCACACACTGCTAAAAAATACTATCCACTTTAAAACTTCCCCTAAGAATGCAAATGACAGAACTTTTTACGGGGAACCGTCCCCCCACTGTATTTTCAGGGGGCCACTGCCCCCCCCCCCTTCCTACGTCCGTGTGAATGTTTGAACTCCTAACTTGCAATATTTCCTGACCTGGTCCTGCTTTATAGATAGGTTTCCGTTATGAAAACCTTGTTTGGAAGAGTGAATTTTTACATAACTTTCATAAAAATATCTGTAGAAATATTTGCTAAGCGCTGATGGTTGTTTCGCCGTCTTCGCTAAATACTGCGCTAGTCACCCAAACCCAAATATGTCGGCGTCGGAACTTTGTTTCACAGAATTCAGTGGTGGAGTAATTCAAGTCGGAGAGATGGTGCGAGGCAATTTTTTCTTTAATTCCAATTTCAAATAAGGTTTCTTCGTGTTTGGCCCATTGGACCTCTTGCTACCGTCAATAACATCGACTGAGTTTCTGGGTCCAGCCATTCGTCAAGGTTTTCTACCCACTGTCAAACTGCCCTAGTTGAAGAACATGTTAGTATTCGGCTAACACGATTTAAATGAAACACAAGGCATTTGACTTCATAAAGAATTGCCACTAAATTTGTTCAGAATATCAAGACCGCCTAGCTTGTCATATGGGAAAACTGTTGCCATTCATGTTGGACAACAAATGCGGTGAAAAAACCTAAAAGAAAAGACAGCAAGGTAGCGGACAGCTGACCGACCCGATGCAGCAACTGGCAGATCAACAAATACGGCTGAGGACTACGACAGAAGGCAAAAAACAAAAACAAAAAACAAGACAAATCCACGCTGCACCACTTTATTGCGTCCTCAAGTGGCAATCTGACAAGTTTTATTGCTTCAACAGATTATCACATTAAAAAAAAGTAAGGATTAAATCAAAAGCTGACAGGTCACAAGTTGGCAAAAAACAGGTGTTAAATCACATTTCCAGTTAAATTCTTTGCCTGCAACAGGAAGGCTTCGGATCAACTTAAATGGAACGTTTAGCACTGATTTTAGAATATCAAATACATATGCAATGTACTGATTTCACTTTCCAAGCACATGGTTGGCTAATCCTACATTATGGCTTATGTACAAGCACAATATTTCACCTTCTTTTATTTTTTCTTCAACAATAAGTATGAAAGGAGGTTCAAATGCAAAAGAAGTTGTATAATATCTGTTTAACAAGCTCTGGAAGCTCAGCTTGGATTAGGAAGCACCTAATTGCATGTATAGTTTTCTACTTCTGACAACTTTTTTTCCGACAATACCAAATTTGGGATTGATACATTCAATAAAAAAGATCTTGAAAACTTGAAATATAAATTTTTATATACAAAGGATTATAACAACTGTTTTGCATTTGTACCCTGCATATGTTGTGAAAGCACATGGTAAATATTTACATTTAACTAATTACTTTGAAGAAAAGTCATAATTTCTTTTTGAACACAGGCATTATCTATTCCATGAGTTAAGACCATAAGGTACAGTACAGTGGTCATCATGTCCACGAGCAAGATATTTTATCACAAGCGGATCTTTCTGAGGCCAAGATAAGTTCTCCTTGAAGAGAGGCTAGAATCTGCTCTGCATGCATCTACCTACATGTAACTCCCAACAGATATCATCAAGGTCAATTCAGAACAGACCCTTACTTACCACTTACATTTATCCAAAGAAACCTGCATAATACCTGGACTCGCCGGCAGTAAGCCAGATATGACCTGCACTGTTCTAAGCCTACTTATGATGCAACATAACGTGCCAATATTGAATAAATTTATACACCTTTCAAACTAAACATTCACAATTGCAGTCCTGAACAATATGGCATCCTTTTCTTTCTATGGTCCTCATTTCGGTCCGATATTCGTTGATTATATTCCTGCCGCATTGACACCCAAAAAAAAAAAACCCTCTAAAATTGTATAATGTAGATTTGATGCAAGTATGTGTAAATGATACCAATGTACAGAAGATGGTTTTTATTATACTGTTCGCTGCTTACAGCTTATGAAAGCCAACTGCAGTTAACAAATATTATACAAAACAGTAATAATGCATCCAGTATCATTTTCATTTGGCTAACTCTTTGGCCTTTTCTATTGTTCACTTTACTGTCTAAACCAACTTTACAGGCATAAATTTGAGAACCATAGAAATGACAATGGATGCCCTTAGTGCCAAGACTCACTTAACTTATTATTTTTTTTAATACACCTTTATTTCCTCACAAAATATACAGACATTTTAATTCTTACGAATATGTACACATATTCCAGTCCTTAATATCAAAATATATTGTAATCTAGTTAAATTAAATTGATTTTCCCATGCTTTGTGTGGCTTTGGCAGTCAAAGCAATAACCTCATTAAGGCAAAACTTGGAAAAAGGCAGGAACACTGATTTATCAATATTAAAAATGATGGCAGGAGAGGAACTCAGAAATACTGTACATAAAATGTACAGGTTCGGCAAACCCTGCAAGTTGTGATCCTGTCAATTATAAGCAAAGTCAAATCACAAATACATGTAAATTAGCACCACTGTAGGCTTTTGCCCTACACTACATAGTGGTGATCTGATCAATCATAAGCAAGCACATTATTGGCATATGCACACTCATGATGACATGATTACAACTCCTGAAATGATACTTCCATTTAAGTCACTACAATGTACACTTGTAAATTGATCTAGGATCTACTGTGACCAATTCCTGCAAAAAAAGGAGCCATAAGGCCATTGCTTCGGTGATTTTTAGTTTACATTCCAAAGAGTGAAGAGCTTTTTTAGGGTGAATGATCAAGTTTGGTATCATGATGTAACCGAACATAAAGTGGATGGAGTATCGAAGGTTCATCTTGAATTGCACAATGCATCTTAGAAGTGGCTCTGGTGACTTCTGTATCATTTCATTGGGATGGGTCATATATAAATGTCTGTCTCTACATACTATTTAGAAAACTTACTTTGAGATGATAACATAAAAAAGATCTACCAGGTTTGCACTAAACTAACAAGAACACCACCACTCCAGTGTTCCATGTATTCCAACTGAGGTCTTTTCGGTTGCTAAAATGACCTAGATTAAAAGTTGATCAATGGCATTTTCCAGTTATCTCTAATATCATGTTCGAAGGAATGACATTTCTCTCTTTCGAAACAAAGAAAGGATGAGAATGTATTTCAAGATTTGGGCACAATTGACGCCACAACAAACGAAACAAATTTTGCAGGCATTAGCTGAAGATATGTTAATAAGATAGTAAAACTGACACAGCGTAATTGAAGGACCTTTGGCAATGTAACTTAAAACAGTAAAGTGTCTTTTTAGGGGGGCACTGGAAAATTTTAAGTGATCTATAAAATGCTTTTTTGAAGTTAATGTTTAAAAAATCTTTCATCAAAGCATGACTGCTAAAAGAAGAAAGAAAGAATGATAAACTACATTGGACTGGTTTAAATGTGTAAAACGTTAACAAAGACAAAGATGTAAGTAATTGATTGCAAACTCCAAAATACAAGTAGGGTTTGAATGCAGCCTACTTGAAATAAAAATGTTTTTAGCCAAAAATTAATATATCTTTAGGCAACAAAAGATTAGCAATGGCAGCAACTTTTTGAATGGACGGTAACATGCCAAGTAGCTCACTTAAGTACATGTACAGCATCGTCAGAATTCTACCACTCATGTCTCCCTGTTTGGCACACACTATGATTAAGAGAATGGTCAACAAGAAGCAAGTTGCCATTTGAAGACAAGTGAGAGAATGAAAAGCAGTGTTAAACTCCACAAACTGAGATCTACTTTCTGAGCAGCATTAACTGTTGGGAATCCTAAGAGTAAAGATGCCTAGTTGAAGTATTACTGACCTAACAGGAGAGCGTTGTTTGGTTTGGGAAAATTCTGTGTTTACTCAAATTTACCAAAAACTGCCCTCCCCTTAGGCCTTCCACAGTTCAAATAGACCAACAGGAACTTTTGGGTGTACACTGCCGGGGGAAGGGGGCTGACTACGTTCACAGATCTAAAGGACTCACAGGTAATAGATTCATTACCTGTCTTGCGATAGTATACACGTACACTACACTACTCTCAAGTGGGATGCTAACTTTTAGCCTACATGTGATTTCCATCACAAGTTAGATCTGTGTTAAACACATATGGTATTTCTAGATCAAAGAGCTCTTTGTGGAGATTTCATCTCACGAAGTCAAAGATATTCTCTGTGTTAGCTTATAAATTCAACATGCTACTCTGCAAGTCAGATTCAAAATAATTTTTTTACCCTCATTTACGGAATGCTCTCAGAAGGCTAAGTGTGGCTTTTTCTACTTCCTTTCTGCTGCAATATTCACACCTGTGTTGAAAAATTTTTTGGAATGGCATCTTTTCCAAGTTAAGACAAAATATTGGCAAAATCTGCCGACAGTCCTGACGACTGTTATTTCAATGTTCATCACTGCAGCAAAAGGAATTCAACAGAAATTTCAAATTGGTGTAAAAAATTTCATATTGTATTTTTATCATGATGACCTAGATCAAAAGTTGATCAATGGCATTTTCCAGTTATCTCTAATATCATGTTCGAAGGAATGACATTTCTCTCTTTGGAAACAAAGAAAGGATGAGAATGTATGAATGTTTCATATTGTATTTTTATCAAACTTGGTCCAACTATTTGGCCAGCAAAAAGAGCATTCTGAAATAGATTACATGTATTTGACTAATGAGCCAAGTTTGGTATTCCAACAGCACATACCCAGCATCAGGCTATTTGAAACAGCTATGCTAACACGTGATAGTCTGTCTTCAAGCATGCAATTTGTTCCCAGAAGACCTTGGCTCTTTGAAATACCGAACTGCCTCATTTTGAAAGACAGGGAAAAGAACAACTCCTTGACTGAAAGAAGTCTACACACAGTGCCCAATACAGGGTTATGTTTGCTCTTTAAATGCCACATATACACTTCTGCATAGTTTATACACATGTATGCCTACACTACATGCCTAGTGTGGACATTTCAGTATTTTCTGCAACTGATCTACCTGAGAAGATGCCCCCCTTTTCTCCTACTTTGATCAGCATTTTTAGCTTGATTCTGATAGTGTCCTTGACTACTAACCTTGTGTGGACCTGGCCTACTCCAAACAAGGTTCCAAGCCTGAATTATGTGCACCTGTTTTGTTCTCGGGTCCCACAAGCGACAAAGCTAATCTCATATACATACAAATTCCAAATGATGTATCCTACATTGCAGACTCACTACAGAGACAGATAGTAAAAACATGAGTGAAAAATAGAGGTGATTTCCCAATAACTGACCTATTTGAAAGTATAGGAAATATTTGTGACATTTCAAAGGGTGGTATGTACCAATTCAAAATCAAGGTTACATCTCTAAGAAGATTTCTGCTTCAGAATATTATCAACAACTTTTCGCACCACGTCACACCTCTTGATCTCTAGCAACTTCTGAAGGATGACTTCCATATTGGGTGGTACCTTGTCTGTGGCAAGAACTTCAAATATGTCATCAGCTGAAGTGCAGACCTTGAGTTGGGAATTACGATTCACCCCAAATACTTCTCCGAGATCTTTGTAGGATGACAATGCCTTTTTATCTTCAGTCAACATCTGATTCACCTCTTTCCTGACTGTGCTGCTCAAGTCTTCCCACTTCATCTCTAGGTCAAGAAAGATAAAACATTTGTTTCCCAGAAGAAATGCTTCAAGTTGACCTCAGTAACACTGGAATGTAGAAACCAAATTTAATGGCATCAAAAGCAAAGGTAATAAAATTGAACATGACTCCATGTGCCCAACAGGTGCCAGATTTTACCAACTCTGTATTACAGATGTTGTCAAAGTCTTTCCTTTAAAGATATCTACATTATAGATTCAGTTTAGGGATTCAGTTTGATAGACATCTTGATAATGATGTCATTCATTCACAAGATAATGAGTGAACTACATCTCTCTCTCTCTGTCTATGAGGCACAATTAATGAATGAAACAAGATGGTATTCAAAGGTCATGTGGCGCAATTTTCTTTGATGACAACCCTAGTAAACGGGGTCTTTTGTCAATTAATAGGACTTAACAGTATTTTAGAGTGTATCTTGCCTTTGTTTTAATACTACAACAAATTTCCATATTTGTGTGCAAAACAGTGATGTCTTCCAGTGAGAAAAACTGCATGTTGCCTTGATATATGCATTAAAAAGCTGGAATTTTTATATCCTGCCTGTCTATATGTCCTTTCCTTTGGTGATTCATTGTCATGTGAGTACATGGCAATAACAGTGCATTCCCACTTGAATTGGGAAAAGGTGGATCTTGATCCAGCATTTTGGTGTGATCATTATCTTACTGCAACTAAACCGCAAGTCGCGTTCCCACGATCGCTTGATCCACCTTTTCAGACGGAAATGTCGAGCCCGAAAGGTCACTGAGTTCAGTATTGCACATGTGCTAGCTTGCTGAGCGTACGCTCTATGGCTGGGGCGGCATGCGTGTGATCCTGCGGTGTTTTGGGTGCGGAGTTCTACTGACGTGACGAACTTGAATTGGACCGAATGTTCAGCCTAGTACGTTATCTCTTCAAACTTTGCTTCCGTTTTTGATACTCTGTCACGCTGCAGGCTATACGCTAACAAGGAATTAGTTTTTGATGGAAAGCAAGTGAAATTACACAAATGAAAAAGGTTCAGAAACGGACGAATGCGCAACGAAAATTGTGAAAGGGGTAGGAACACATTGCAGCATGCATGGTGACACATTCTGCTAGCCCGTAGTTCTGCAGTTGTTTATTGTGCATGCTGTGCATGTTAAAAATTTCCCATGAGCTACACGCCAAAAACGCATTTCTTTGTTCATCAGCCCGCAAAAGTTTCGCACCACTCGTGCACGCACAGATGTTGACAGGTCAAATTGCCGGATCAGATCCACCTTTTGCATTCCCATCTGATCGTGATCCGCCGATTGCAGGATCTGATCCACCAATTGGGAGATCTGTATCCTGCTCCAGAGGAGGATCAAGAAAGGTGGATCTGATCCTGATCCACTTTATAACGGTTAGTGTTCCCACTACACACAATTGCTGGATCTGATCCAATTGGTGGATCAAGTGGGAACGGGCTGTAAGCCAATAAGCAACCCTTCCCCTGAAGTGTTTTCAATAAGTAATTGCTATTTACATTTTGAACACACAAAATACACACTCGGCAGTGAGTACATTGTCTTCCTGATTGACATCACGGCAACAGTGCCCTCTGTTGTCCCAAGAAACATGGAAAATTTCACATGGTTAAAAATGTATACTTTTCAATACACTTAATACCCCCAAAAGGATGTCAAAACCAAGTAGCTTTTAGACAGTGAAAGAAAATTGCACAAATAGTGTATCAAAGAAAATTGCACAAACAGTGCAGCAAAGAAAACTTATGCGCTCTTTAATCAGGCACGTAGGAACTGGGGCTGGGGGGCCAGTAGTCCTCCCCCCCCAAAAAATGGTGGGGGCCAGGTCCCTCTAAACAAATTGAGCAATTTGCATTCTTGGAGTGGAAGGTATTTGTAGCAGTGTTTGATGATATTAACTCAGATCACATTGGAAAAATGGAAAGTTAGAGAGACTTTATTTTTCTGCCCCCTCCTCTGTAGAATTATCGTCCTACATGCCTGTTAATAACAGCAGTAAAAAAAGAACGTAAAGCTCTGCACTTCTGAACAATATTGGTATGAGAAAATATGCCCATATATGACATAATCATTTGGCTGAAAAATATGGAAAAAACAGAAGAATTCAAGGACCTTACCTCTCCCCAAGCTGCACGCTTTTTCGAAATTCTTGTCAAACTCCTTCTGCTTTCTATCTTTATCATTCTGTGGTGAGAATAACAAGTCTCATATAAGGTTTCAATAAAAGTTTTCTACAGTCTTCTGATCTATCTGTCTTTCAACATCTTCTGATGTGTGCCAAATCAGCTCACAAGGAAAAAAAAACAGGTCAGTCTGATTCAAGCTTTATTCTTATATCTGTATGTAAGAGTTTCATTGAATACAGAGACATCTTATGAAGTCAAACTTGGATCACTTAAAACTCTGTTTAACTCCATGATTCTCCTCTGTTCCTACTGAAAGATTCAATCAGCATGAACACAGTTGACTCTAATTAATACGAGGGCCTTGGGGCTTACTTAATTATCTCATATTACCCAAAAACCTCCTTTTAAGCGAAAAGTATTTTCCCACTCGTATGTGCCATTTGTCGATCGTACGACTGTTGAAGGGAAATGGATTTGCTTTCGAAACAGTTCCAACATGTTCTTTATGAAATTGTAATGTACACTGTATGTCGATTAAAAAGAGTGTAATAAAACATGTATTATCTGGTAATTGAGAAGAACTAAGCAGAAAATTAATAGAACACAACAACGGGGCAAGCGGTCTCGTCACCAATAAGCAATGTAACCTGCATGGTGTGGTCACTGTCACGGGGAACGCGCACATAAGTACATTAACATTTTAGTTGGTGACCGACTAAACAGATGTTATTTTATACATGTGCATGTTTATACATGGAGGAAACCATTGAATTTTTGGTGGACAGAAGCGGGCGTAGGTCGGGGCTAGGATAATATATTTTTAGCGGGAAATGAATTTTTTTTTTCAAATGTTTGGATATAGGATTTAAATTTGACTTCCAAAAGGACATTTACAGGTAAGAGAAAAAATGGATTTCAATAACAAATGAATTTTATGTTAGTTTATAAGTTGGGTAGGGGCATTTTCCATTCTCGTCATGTTTTGGTAGGGTTTGTAACGAGTTTTGTTCTGGTCGGGCCCTCTAGTGGCCTGGGAATTACAAACACTCGCTGTCCATTGCGTTCATGCCAACTGGGCGGCATGATAGCACCCACAAAGAAAATCCTTTGATCGCCCTTGAATCTAAAATGCACCAAAACCACAGTCATTGATTAGCGCGCGTTATCACCGCACCTAGTACAACAGCACCTGTATTGAATAGGTCCGTTGATTGACGAGTTGTTTTCAAAATACTCATGCTAAATAGAGAGATAACAATACATCGGAAAAAGCACTCGCCTTAACCGAAATCTCGTATTACCCAAGCTCGTATTAAAGATTTTTTCCCAATAGGAATGTACACACTTTGGTCAGGACTGGTGAAATATGTTCGTCTTAACCAGAATCTCATCTTCCCCAAGCTCATGTCACTGACAGTCAACTGTACCTCAATAAATTGTATCATCCGAAGCACTATCTCTGTTTGCCTCAAAGTTTAAGTTTATGAATCTCAACGAAACTTCTATTGAATTGGTCACAAAAAGACTAAAGAAAGTCACAAAAACTTATGAGTCATCTCCGAGCACGAAATGTATTTCATTTTTAAGTGACATCCTTCATACATATACTTCACACATCACAACCAGGCTAGTCACAATAACCAGCCCAAACAACAGTGACTCCCGCAAGACTTTCAAGTTTAGCCTGATTGCTGTTGTTGGCCCAATCGCTCACACCTCTGACCTAATGACTGGCTCTTTGCAGTGACAAAGTGACCACATTAGAACTGTCAACATTAGCCTGATTGTTGCCAGTAGCCCAGTTGCAGTGTGCACCCTCTATAGATTACAAAGGATTTCTGGACGGGAACGTATGCATGTTCACGTACCTTAATACATTTTTTCCGTACTGTTAGAGGCAACACTATTTGTTTGCCACTGACTGTTTGCTGAATGTCTTGACGTTTCTTTTCATCAGCTGGTTCAGAGATACTACGTTTGAACTCTGGACGACAATGGCTGGTGATCTTTGATGAAAACGTATCAAGGATTTGCTGAAACTTGTTGCTATTTTGTCTGTTTAGAGCAGGTCTGTCAGATGCACTGGATAAAAGAATTCAAGGAAACAAAATGATACAACACAATGCAACCCAACTCCACACTAACCATCCCCACCCCGACCAAACCAAACACAACGCTACCCCAACACACTCCCAAAAATCAAATCAAACCTAATAAGAAAAAGATTAAGACATTTCCATAGAGACAGATCTAAAATAGGTAAAATTTTCACTTTTTTTAAATTGAGGGAGCTGCAAGCCCCATTACTTTTTAATTGGTGATTATTCATTATATGGAAAAATTGTTTCCATAAGAAAATCCCCATTTTATCCACCTCCCCTAACATAAACCATACATATGCCACTGGAACTTTACGGAGCTATATGCTGCTAGCATAAGGCTTGTCTAATCCATACAGCCAGTATGAATACAGGCGATTCACGATAGTGCACCTCCAAGAGCTTAGAACAAACTGACCGATCACAATGAGCAAAATCTGTTGACCCAAAGCACGTTTGGAAAGGGTCAACAGATTTTGCAAAATCTTGGAGGCACACTACTGTGAAATGCCGGTATTACAGTGGAACGCCGCTATAACGAACACGATGGGGTCCACACTAAATGTTCAGTACAGTGGTCGTTCGGTACAGCAAATTTGTCTGCCGAATGTTTCGTTGCCATGTTGAACAGCGCCCCCTCTTGTCTAACTGAAGTGTACCCTTTTGTGATACCCTGGTTCCCTGTTTTCGTGATGTTTTGCCGTTGCATTCATGTTTAAGGTTTCTAGAAATGTATCCGTAATTATTTTTGTCTTTTATTTAATCTTGAGTCACAAAAATGATATCAAATTTATTCCACAAGTTGTGAAGCTACCGCTAAGGATCAATCTCTGAGGCATGCAGTGGCAAATCTCAGTTGATCTGTGTATCAGCGGCGCCTCTTTAGACTATTGTTAGTGCAATGCCATGGTGCGCGTACGTGCGGTTTTCTTCCACACCCATTCATGTGAAGTCGCAAAACCAGTATCTATAGAATACCTTTGAAGACTAGTGGCTTTCCCTTCTTATCCTTGGGGAAAACAATGCCCACTTGTCATTTTCCAACTAAAAAAACACCGACTGTTTATCATGTTGATGTTCGGGAATTACAAACGGCAACTGAATAGTGTTCGGTAGGTTCTGTGTACAAATTTTATTGGGAGCCAAGGATGATGTTCGGTACAGCCGAATGTTCCGTTTAGCGGTGTTCGGTATAGCGACGTTCCACTGTAATGATATAGGGAGGCCATGTTTGAAACGAGTTTAGTGCTAGGACTGTGACCATCATTAACACATGTCAACATACATACATGAGTTACTTGTCAAAACCTATGCTGTAGGCCCAGCTTAAATTATTATTATACAAGGTTCTCATGGTCTCAGCACCAGAAACATCGCGTACAAATTTGTTAATCCTATTTCATTAACATACCTCTGGCCATTAGGGCTCTCTTCTATGGTGGGCAGCATGATGCGAGGAGAGACATTTCCATCTGTAGAATCATGCCGGCAGGAACTACTGGGAGTTACGGTGACATCTCCATTCTTGCTGGAATGGCCCGGTTCTTTAGTGTTCTGGGCATTCTGCACATCTTCCAATGTAGGCCTTCCACTGGATGGGTTGTCTGTATCTATTGGCAAAGCCCCATTTGGAAGGGTCTGGTCTGGGGCATTTAGCTCCAAGCGTACTGAACCTTCTTGCTTGGAAGCAGAATAAATAGCACCCTCATCAATATCTGTAACCCTTTCAGCCTCAGTATCTCCACCACCTGATGCTTCAGTATTATCATGGTCTGTTCCACTTTGGTCTCCAGTGAGTTTGTCTTTCTCCTCCTGTGAAGCACCCACCACATCTGGTTTGCTCGGTCCTAGATCATGCAAAAACCAACCAGCAAAATGAACAGATATTGATTAGCACCCTGGCCTTGAAGGGGATCTCAAGTATGCCCCAACAATCAGGGCCAGTTTGTTTCACAAGGATCTAGACCTGGTTCTGCATGAAAAAAAACACAGATCTCATATATCCAGCTTGAAAACTTAATCTGTTTAGTACATGTCTGCAATATGTCATGAGCCAACTTGTCCGATACATGTACAGGGTTCTCCCCAGGATTTTTCAAAACTGTGGGGATATCCATTTTGGTTTTCCAACATTCTGCGAAGCCATGGCGTGGGACTTTAGATGCCCTCAGCTGCATTTTAGAGCATTTCCTGGGCTTTTCAGGTACCTTTTCTCAGGAAAAAACATGAGAGATTCAATAACTTTTTTTTTTCAAATTTTGGATATTTCAAAAACATCTGACAACATGTAGTGGCTGTATTAATCAACGATTTAAACACCCATATATTCAGTTTTAATTTTAACACATGCTTCAACCTTTGTTTTTTGTTGTGCACGTGCTGCAGGTGGCTGCAATGTCTGCCTTTGGGTTTCCCTCAGTGTGGACTTCTGATGTTATTGGCTTAAAAAAAGAGCCCATTTTTGATTGAGTTTCTGCCGTTGTGCGCGAGACAAAACGTAGTGAAATGGCAACGAGAAATATCTTCCTTGTCGTAGATGCCATTAACACTGTTACAGAGGGCTACGGCTGCTGCCATGAAAAAAAATGTGTGTGGGGTTGATGTTGTAAGTTCTGTGAATGGTGTAGTATAAAATTTTAACCTTCGTAAATGCAGCCCCACTAGCTGATTGAGCACACGGCACAGAGAAAACACACATGTGAGCGGGTGCATGTACGACACCCATGACGGAAGTTCAGATTTCATGCCACACCAGCCATGAAGAACGTTTGGTACCGACGTACATGTACGGTGTGCAGTGTGGCCGCCAACGCGTGGTGCACAGTGCATGTACTATGTAGGCTACCTATAGTATGTACATGTACACAGAAAAATGCAGGACTATTAACTGCTTTTTCATCCAGATTTTCCGGACATGCAATCTGCATTATGTAGATAATTCTGAGCCATACTAATTATATTGTGCATATCGAGGATGAAAAAAATGGGTATCAGCCCGTTTTTTGTGTATCGGGCAGAAATTATTGCGTATTGGGCCTGATCCGCAGGTTTGTACGTGGGCAGAACCCTGATGTAGATAAATCTAAGGAGACGCCATAAGTCGCATTCGCACTGGACTAAAAATTGTACAAAATTACAACGACTCCTTATGAACATTTCATCGTGGCTTTTATTGTGTGCATCTGCACGTGGATTACTCAGACTCATGGAAAGTCCATAACCATGCAGTGGTATGTGGCTTCAGAATCTCATGAGGGTAACCTCTGATTGACATTATATTGTGACATCAGATGTAGTCTCAGAAAACTGCATGATTCTTTTTACTTCATACTTCCAGTCATGGCGAAGTTTTACTTACAGGAGTGGTTTATAATGGGAGCAAAGAGAAATCAACACAAAGTTGGGCGATATGTCATTCACTTTGTGCAATTCCAAACTTTTTTCATAATTAAGAGTCATACTAATTTTGCATTTAATGTCTGTTTAATAGAAATGACTTTTAGAGTTTCTGTTTTTAAAAATTGGCCGACAACTGAATGCTTTTTCCCAGTTTCGGATCACACATTAAGTGCACACATGTGTAAATAGGCTGTGAGCTCAACTACAGGGATGTTGCAGAGACGTGACGTAATGGGTTCTACCTTTGCAGTGTGGGAGATATTATCAGTGATAGCTTGCTGTACAGCTGAAAAAGTCAAGTCGAATTTACGCAAGCTCTACTTTTCAATTCTTTGGAATTCTTATTTATGAACCAATTTTTTCTGAATTAAGAAATTTTTCATTAGAAAATCAGCTTGTTACGATGAGTCTGGCTGAATCGTGGATTTGTTGTGTGGTTACTTTTTATTCATGAAGAAGTTTTTGTTACCATTTAGGAAAAGAGTTGTCGTCACTTTCGTTGATCCTCTAAGTCCACATAAAAGCACAGATTTTGAAAAAATCTTTTTAGTATCTCCAACACAAGACGGACTGGTGACCATATTTCCATGGAATTTGAGGATTTTTTCGTAGCTGCAATCGGACTGAACAAGTTTGGCATACCGGAATTGGGAAAACACCCATACAGTAAATCAATTAATGACCAAAATGACTGTTATGGCTTGCAGCTTTGGTACATTCTGCTGCTCCATGACGTGACTTCGATATCATGCTTATGCACTGCCATGTAGCTGTACGGACTAGTTTGCGGGGGGGGGGACCAGAGATCACGACCCATTGACCTGCAAACAGATTTCCCACGATCAAAATGTTAAGGTTTACATTACACTGGCCATCCGTACGGGACTTTTCTACAACGTAAAGTTGACAATGTAATTCTTCTGCGACCCTGTTGGCCCTGTAAAACTTGTGCGGCAGGAAGGTAAAAAATACAACCGATGATCGACACTTGACAATATGGACAGCTTACCGGCTGTCCGCATTGAATTTTGTAAAATCGTCAACAGTCTCTGCACATTTGACCAAAGAAGAGTCCAGTGCAAACACGGATGTAGCTGCAGTGGCACCACACTAAAGCACGCATTGTTCAATTAAGGCATGTGTACATTCATGACACCCTACAGGCTGAAGACAAGAGTAGTGCATGCATAACACCTGCTCACAGCTGTGGTGCCATTACAGTGACAGCTTCTAATTCTTGTTGGTGGATTACTCTTTTAGCTGAACTGTACATATCCACAATCTGGCTTACTTGTATATGAACTAATCAACCTGGATGACATTTAATTAAAATGAGGATCTCTACAATAGCAATAGGAAGTTTGTGTTTTTTTTATACAAGTCTAAAAAGAGTGATTGTCACTTATGACATTCATCTCCAAACTTCAAGTTTCCCCTTATGTTATTGTTACTGTGAACCAGCAGATTCTATTACGGCAAAAATGTGCATTATTGCAGCAGTGCACGCTGAAATTTTTGCCTTGAAATTAACAAATTTCAAGATGGGAATTTCTTTTTTCGCGGATTAATTTTTTGACTGGTTACTTCATATTCAGTGAGGGCTTCTCTGTTACCTGAAGGTTGTCGGCATTGTTGACATATTTTGTAGCAGTATACTAACAAGATGATCAAGATCACACTCAATCCGACACCCAATCCAATACCCAATCCAATGCCCAGGGATGAAGTTCCTATTAAAAAACATGCAAAAAGAATATACACTGTAAACAACATGGCTATTCTGCATTGTACACAATGTTACAAGAAAACTGCAGTCAACAGTAACTGATACTAATAACGATCAATGTGTTATTGCAAAACAAACAAGTTTTACCGAGATCAAATCATCTTTTTTTTGAAAATCTTGAAACAGGTATTCTACGATCATTTCTAGGTCCTATGTAAAACAAAACTGCTGCAAACTGCTTGTTGACCACAGTGACTTCAAATGCAAATCACAAAATATGCAGGGCCTGGCATTTCGATCCCAGCAGAATCTTTCTCAAAGTTGGCCCTTGAGAAAGATTCTGCTAGGATCAAAGTGTCAGGCCCTCCATATTTTGTGATCATTTTTAGGTGTTATTTTAAAACCTATTTAGAGCATTTTCACATCAGCAAATCATAACCGTATCATCCATTCACAGTAATCAAAAGTAAAACAATGCATGGATTCTGTCAATAACTGAAAAAAGAAGCAAAACAGAATGGTGTGTCAACAACAAACATGCCCCACTAAACCAAAGCCCTGACTTGTGATCACAAAAACTCCACTGTGAAAACTACCTTCACTGGCCTAGACCACCCGAGACTAACAAGCCACTTGTGAGTTAAATTTGAATAAAATCTGGTACACTGTGTTATCTGATTGCACAGGAACGTAAAAATTTGAATTCCCCAGACTAAAGACACTGTTGCTATACCTCGTGATTCAGGGCAAGCTTTTGCATAGCGACCACCATCTCTGGAATGGACTGGTTCCTTAGTGCCGTTCTTATCCATTGAGAACAGTGTATTGTTGCAAGGCGTCTCTTATGTAACTAAGCAAAAGCTTGCCCTGAATCATGAGGCACAGCAACAGTGGTTTTATTATGGAGAATTCAAGTTATGTTCATGTGAATTTAAAGAACTCAGTGTACCAGAATTTACTCAAATTTAACTGGAAAATGGCTTATTCACATACATCAGGTCTTTCTGGAGTCATGGTAACGAAACTGTTCAATCTATTGTTTTAGCCACAATGGTATAACCTTTGACTTACAGCAACCAAAATCAATAGATTTCTGAAAGATACCATGTACATATATAAAGTTATACATATGCATCAAATTCACAAACATGGGAAGAAAACACACTTTAGAGTATGCCCCATCAGTTTTGCTGGCAACACAAAGTTCATCTAGAGCCAAATCAAGCAACAGAAAAATACACCATGAAATGCAACTTTCTGACAAGAGGTAACCACCCTGTTGTCCACTCAAGGATTGGATTAACAATATTTCATCTTAAAAACACAGAAAAAGCCGTAGTTAACTTCGTGAGATCTCAACCCATTTCTCAATTATGACATTACCTTGTTTGGCAGTTGTACCGTTCGACAGCCTGGTAAAAGAAAATGTGGTGTCTAAATTTGTCTCCATGGCAACGTTTTGGGTACTGCCTACATTTTCCTGATTTGTGTTGGAGATTAATGTCACCGTGGATGGGGAAGCTTGAATGATTGGTAGTGGGGTACTAGTCCCGTCACATTCTGGTGGCTTTTCTGCATCATTGAAGTCAGGGCACAGACTGCATAACCCTTCATGGCCAGAGTGGGAGCCATACCTGTGCAGATATTAACAAATACATTCACGATGATCATGATACAAATCTTTAAAGTCCATGCAGATGTACATGTACAGTGTAGCTCATCCTTTTCCACAGACAGATAAATTGTTTACAATGCAACTTCGGAGGCAAGGATAATTTGGTTACTCAAATTTGGTTACTTAATCAATGTGTTGGTTTTTCAATTACATCATTCTATTTGATTAATTCAAAACTACTCAAAGAAAAAAGGTTTCCTTTTCAGAAGGTGCAGATAACATCTGAAACAAATTTCAAACACTCTGCGCATAAAACTTTGTTCAGAAAGGTAAATTTGGATGACATGTATTGTGAAGACAATATTTTCTTTGAGGATTACAAAATGAACGACTTGTGGGTTTGGTTCATTAGACCTAATAAAAGCTTCTAGTCGACACATATCAGTACATTCGACAGTCATGCATGGCATGCTGCAAACCATGATCCAGTCATGTCAGTGATCAGCAATGGAGTCAGTGATCAGCAATGGAATCAGTTATCAGCAATGGAATCAGTGATCAGCAATGGAATCAGTGATCAGCAATGGAATCAGTGATCACCAATGGAGTAAGTGATCAATAATGGAGTCAGTAATCAGCAATGGAATCAGTGATCAGCAATGGATGGAGTCAGTGGTCAGCAATGGAGTCAGAGTTCAGCAACAGAGCCAGTGATCAGCAATGCTTACCCTGGTTTGCAGGGACCACAGACCCTGTTCTGATTTGTGGTGCAGTTGGATTTGACAATGGCATTCTCATCACACGGTGTACATGGTTTGCACTGCCCTGCTGTTACCTCATCCTGGTAGGTTTCGCCTGCAATGCACGCATTACAAGTTCCCTTTTCTCCTCTGCCATAGCCACATTCCACCTGTGAACACAGAAAAAATGGAAGTCAGACAAGTTTACAGGTTGGACAGAGACACTCAGGGTGCATTTGAGCAAGCAACTTGTGTTAACACGAGTATACTCCTGAGTGCTTGAACGGCAGGAGTACGACCTGTGGGTCAACGAGACTATACTCTCGCTAAAGGGGGAATACACTGCTGCACCCAAGTGTAATGCACATGCATCCTACTAATGTTAACAGGAGTAACTGCGCGAGCGCACCCTCAGTGTCTGTATTGAAGCAATCACACCATAACATCGTTAGGTGAACGGTACGCCAGCAAGTTCAATAATTCCCTTTCAACTATGGTTTCAAGTGGCCAATTTTTTTGTATGCTAATTTTTTTTGGTAAAGTTAATCAACAATAAAGGATCAAGTGGTTTGTCTTGAATTACTTCAAAAGAAAATTTTCCTGCATGACTTTTTACCCTTCAACTAAATGATGTTGGTCACTTTGCCGATTCACCACTCTGTCCACAACCTCTTCCCTGAATTGCCACTTTGCCCAATTGCCGCTTTGCCCATTTGTCACTTCACCCAAGCGCTCCTTCACATACCAGCTAAGCCCTAATTATTTGTTTATCAATATCATGACTGTGAAACAAACAGAAATGCCATTTTTGTGTTCCTCCAACATTTTTGGAGTTTCTAAGCATGAAAAATTTTTAAAATTTGATGGGACAAGGATGACCTATTTTAATTAAAAGGTGTCAAATTTGCAATTTTGGCTTATCTCTTAAACCATTTAAAGGAAGTTTTCGTGGTCATACACTACAAGTCAGAATTTTAGCAGACAAGATACATGTACATGTACATGCAATTGCGTGTCAGCATGTACTGAGTCCAACAGACACAAAAGGAGTTAACCACAAACATGAAACACACTGACTTCTGTATAACACAGAATGCTGACGTTATAATCCAATCTGCCAAGTATAAATTTACACTTTGTGCAAACCACAGAACAGTCAGTGCTTTGTTGACCAGCATAGTCACTGTCCTAGTTTCACATAACAAAAAATATTGAGCTTGAATGCAGTTCAACTAGTCCTCAAATTCCAGGGGAATGTGGTCCATAGTTTACCTTATATGTACGAGATATCATCAAATTATTTTCAAAGATAAAGTTTTTCATTTGGACTTAAAGGTTCATAAAAATACCGCGCCGGCAACACAATTCCTTGTTTGGTTTATCCAGGTTCGGATCGCAAAAAAACCAGTTCCACATCAGGCACAAAAAATAATCAAACGAGAAATCAATTTTCAGCCAACACAACTATAACTAGCAGATTTTATGACAAAGCTTTTCTTTTAATTAATTAAGTTAGAGAAAACTAGTAAGTTATGTACAAGAAATCAGTAGAATCAAACAGGGTTCCACTTGAATGCTGGACAACTAGCAAGATTTGAAGCTTTGCATGGTGGAAGAAACATGAGAAAAAGTTTTGCAGGTACACAACGGAATCACTCTCTTTGGGCAAGGTGTGGTTCTAAAAAGAACCGGTGAGTGTTAACTTGACACTTTGGCCAGTGTGCTCTGGCCATCCTCAGGAGAGTGTACTGGACTGGAGTGGATAGCTGGGTTATAAAGGTAATTCAGAAGCAGTGGAGCATGGACTATGATTTGTAGGTTTTGTAACTTCAGTGTGTGCACTGTTGCATGAAGGTGTTGGATCCTGTGGCATTGCGGAATCAACAGGAAACCTTGGGTTCAGGTATAGGGGACACTTATGCCAATGGGGGAGGGGGGATGGCTTTGGGTAGAGAAGAAATTAACGTCTGGAGTGGGTAACATGAGTTTCGGGTATAGGTGACCCTATTGCCCGGGAGTGGGGTATGCTTGGGTGCTGGTAGTGGGCACCAGATGTTGCTGAGTTTCAAACCGATGTCTTAGGGTACGGTGGTGTGCCAGAAAATCTTGATGGCTTCTCCAATTCTTCTAGGGAGCCAGTTCTGGATGGGGATGACGAGTTCTGCTTTGTCCCATTCAATACGGTGGTGCGTGGAATGTGCATGTTTGATGATGGCTGACTTATCGTATTCTGCTCGTCGGCTGTTCAACGGTATTCTTGGAGTCTGGTGGGGAGGTAGCTGCCAGTTTCCCCGATGTATACTTGGCCACATTCACATGGAGTGCGATATACACCGGGCGACTGCTTGGTGAAAGCTTGTCCTTATTAATGGGTGAGAAGTGCAGCCTGCAGCTTATTGGGTGCTGAATGACAGACTTTGATGTTGGCCGACTGCAGGATGCTGCGGAGTCGGTGGGAAGTGGGGCCCAGGTACGGTAGACATACTGTGGCAGTGGGGGATTGGGGGACTTCAGGTAAAGGTGACCATAATGCTGTGGGGGAAGAAGGGACTTCAGGTATAGGAGACCCTAGCGTCCTGGGAGAGGGCTTGGAAAGGTTGATGTGCTGGTTGCGGTAGCCGTTCGTCTGGAGTTCGTCTGTTCTGATCTTGTAGGCTCTGCAGGTGAGGGTGGGGTTGACCTAGGTCTTGATGGCTGGGTGGTGGAAAGATCTTTGGTGCAGGTACTGGTCGGTGTGGGTAGGCTTGTGGTGGACACGGTGGTTGAGGGTGCCGTCTGGGTTTCTGGACAGGTGGACATCTAAGAAAGAGAGGTGTCTGTCTTGTTCTTGTTCCATGGTGAACTTGATAGTGGAGTGTTGCTGATTGAGATAATCAAGGAATTCTCGGAGGTGATCTTGACCATGGGGTCATATGACGAATGTGTCGTCAACATAGCGTAGCCAAATGGTGGGTTTGAGGTCGGCGGTGAGGAGAGATGATGTTTCAAATTCTTCCATGAAGATGTTAGCTAGGACCGGGGATGTAGGGGATCCCATGGAGGTCCCAGCTGTCTGATCGTAGAACTGGTCTTGGAACTTGAAGTAGCTGGATGAAGCGCAGAGGCGGATGAGGTCGGCGATCTTGGTGGAGGAGAGAGCTGTGCGGTCAGCGAGGGAGTGGTCGCTGTCCAGTCGATCCTTGGCAATCTGGCATACTTCTTTGGTTGGAACATTGGTGAATAGCAACACCACGTCGAAGCTCACCAAGACGTCTGTCGGCTTGAGTGACAGGTTTCTTGTGAGCTTCATGAACTGGGTGAAGTTGGAGATGTGGTGTGCCGTGTTGCCAACCAGGGGCTGGAGGATGCCAGTCAGGAAGCAGGGAGTCTCGTAAATTGGTGAGCCCCTTGAAGACACAATGGGGTGCAGCGGGGTGCCTGGCTTGTGGATCTTAGGTTGACCAAAGAATCTTGGACAGGTAGATGTCGATGGGCAGAGGCAACGGTACAGATCTGCTGGGATGGAGTTGGAATGGTGGAGGGTGAGGAGGTGGTTGACGATGCGTTTCTCGATGGCTTGAGTGGGGTCCCTTAGGCTCGAGATCGTCTATATCTCTATTCCAACGCCCCGAGCTTAAGTGATCTTCTATATCCCAACGGCAAATGCTGGCAGAGAGAATTCCACAGACACATCGTCATGAACCACAGCCAGCGCACCCTGTTGATCACGGAGACAGGTGTCATCTCCCTAGGCATGAACTTTGCCACCCCACCATGAGCCGTCCCCCTAGCCAACATCATCCAAGCCATGGAATCAGCCATATGGAAACTCGACAAGACCACAGCCAATAACATCCGAGTCAAGATCCACCAAGCACTCCTGCATGCCAAACCGGTCAAGCTCAACCTCACCAGACCCAAAGTTGAAGCCCTCCGTGATCTCCGCAGCAACAAGTCCATACACATCATCACGGCCGACAAGGGCAATGCCACCGTGCTCATGAACTTTGTAGCTTACTCCAACAAGGTACAAGACATCCTCACATCCGGCTCCTACCACCCCTACCCAAGGAAAAAAAACGCATTGCCAGCCACATCCCCATCCTCCACCATTCCGACTCCATTCCAGCAGACCCGCACCATCGCCTCCACATTTTGGCATCTACCTGTCCAAGATTCTTCGATCAACCCAAGATCCACAAGCCACCCCCTGCTCCCCATTGTGTCTTCAAGGGGCTCACCTACTAATGAGACCGCAAGCTTCCTGACTGGCATCCTCCAGCCCCTGGTCGGCAATACACAACACCACATCTCCAACTGCACCCAGTCTGTGAAGCTCACGAGCAACCTGTCACTCCAGCCCACAGACATCATGGTGAGCTCCGACGTGGTGTTGCTATTCACCAATGTTCCCAACGAAGAAGTATGCCAGATTGCTAGGATCGACTGGACAGCGACCACTCCCTCACTGACTGCACAGCTCTCTCCTCTGCTAAGATCACAGACCTCATCCGCCTCTGCGCTTCATCCAGCTACTTCAAGTTCCAAGACCACTTCTACGATCAGACAGCTGGGACCTCCATGGGATCCCCTACATCCCCGGTCCTTGCTAACATCTTCATGGAAGAATTTGAAACATCATCTCTCCTCACCGCCGACCTCAAACCCACCATTTGGCTGCGCTATGTTGACGACACATTCGTCATATTGCCCCTGGTCAAGATCACCTCCGAGAATTCCTTGAGTATCTCAATCAGCAACACCCCACTATCAAGTTCACCATGGAACAAGAACAAGACAGACACCTCTCTTTCTTAGATGTCCACCTGTCCAGAAACCCAGACGGCACCCTCAACCACCATGTCCACCACAAGCCTACCCACACCGACCAGTACCTGCACCAAAGATCTTTCCACCACCCAGCCATCAAGACCTAGGTCAACCCCACCCTCACCTGCAGAGCCTACAAGATCAGAACAAGAACTCCACCACATCAAGTCCGCCCTCCAGACGAACGGCTACCGCAACCAGCACATCAACCTTTCCAAGCCCTCTCCCAGGACGCTAGGGTCTCCTATACCTGAAGTCCCTTCTTCCCCCACAGCATTATGGTCACCTTTACCTGAAGTCCCCCAATCCCCCACTGCCACAGTATGTCCACCGTACCTGGGCCCCACTTCCCACCGACTCCACAGCATCCTGCAGTCGGCCAACATCAAAGTCTATCATTCAGCACCCAATAAGCTGCAGGCTGCACTTCACACTCATAAGGACAAGCTTCTACCCAGTAGTCGCCCCAGTGTATATCACATTCCATGTGAATGTGGCCACGCATACATTGGGGAAACCGGCAGTGAACCTCCCCACCAGACACAAATAACAATGCTCGCACGGCAGATGAGAATACGACAAGTCAGCCATCATCAAACATGCATACCCCACGCACCACCGCATTGAATGGGACAAAGCACAACTTGCCAACCCCATCCAGAACTGGCTCCCAAGAAGAATTCGAGAAGCCATTGAGATTTTCCAGCACACCACCGTACCTCGAGACATTGGTTTCAAGCTCAGCAACATCTGGTGCCCACTACTAGCACCCAAGCATACCCCCACTCCCGGGCAATAGGGTCCCCTATACCCAAAACTCATGCCACCCACTCCAGGCATTAAGGTCTATCCAAAGCCAGCCCCGTCGCCCCTTGGCGTAAGTCTCCCCTATACCCGAACCCAAGGTTTCCCGCCAATTCTACAACCCCGCACCGCCACAGAATCCAACACCTTCATGCAACATTGCACACGCTGAAGTTACAAAACCTACAAATCCCGTTCCATGCTCCACCACTTACAGATTACCTTTACAACCCAGCTATCCAGTCCGGTACACTCTCCTGAGGATGGCCAGAGCACACTGGCCAAAGTGTCAAGTTGACACTCACCGGTTCTTTTTAGAATCACACCTCGCCCAAAGAGAGTGATTCCATGGTGTACCCGCAAAACCTTTTTTCATGGTCAGCTAGCCAAATTTTAGTCAAGATGGTCCCTATGGCAGGGATCCTGACATGTGCATAAAAATTTGCTGTACTCAATTTCAGTGTGCAAAAAAGCATGAAATAAATTTGCTCCGATGTTCCATGGTGATTTTACCTGTCTGTTTTTTACTCTGGAGCTGGAAAATATAACAAAAAAGGTTGTAATGACTGCGACAAAATTACGACCAAACTAAACAACTAAGATCATACCGAAAAGAATGGAAGTCAGCACTTTAGTTAGAAGAGGCTTTCTGTGACGAAAAGATTGGGCCCAGATATTACTACAAACCTCGATGTGCAAGTAATGTCACCAACACAAGAAAAATGTTAGCACTATTAAAGGACGGATGATTTCCAGATGTACTTCCTCTGCTTGCACATTGTCAGAAACAACCATCGTCTACCAGTAGCTAGTTCATAGCAATCTGAGCGACGGAACCAGCCCGGCGAAACGAATGCTAAAACCCTTGATATCACCTTCTGTAACTTCAGTTTGCCCAATGCTATCACCCACATGCACCTGCTGACACTTTAATGACAACTGGTGAGTGGCACAGTGCTGCTGACCCACATCGACCATGAACAGCAGTTAAATAAGTGCGCATGTGGCAGAGATGAGCTTCATAAAAATGCTGTGTGACGTACGATGAGGGTTTTGGTAGGAGATGTACATGTATGTATATGAATATGCAATACTCCTGTTCCATTTTATGATTGGCGGTTGGGATGAAAGTGATGGGGTAGTTGTGATTTTGTGATAGCCAGTTCACGTATTGTGCATGTACAGTGCATGTACCAGTACATGTACTTTTTTTCATTTTATTGCAAGCCATGATTGCACACGTGTGCGGGGAAAGTTGTGCAGCTGAAAAAGTCGTGTTGACATTGACAGAAGTTTAATTTACTGGAATTCTGATACATGAACTAAAATTTCTCTATATAAAGTTGAAAATTCATCTCTTTAGAAAATCACCTTGTTATGATAGGTTTTTGTCATGATCCAATCCAGAACAAGGAAAAGTGTTGTCATCCCTTCATTCGACCCCAAGCCTAAATTCAGACAATAATTGTTGTATCCAAACACAAAACGTGGACTACAGACCAATTTCACGGGATTTTGAAAATTTTTAGAGACAATGAGGTCCAGAGCCTGGCTTATCATGCACTGGACCAGCAATGTACGCAAAAAAATGTAAAGCGTGTATTGAACAGTGAGTTAGGTTCACTGTTCATGTTTTCATGTCTGACCTGTACTGTAAAGCAGATTTTAACCCTCCTATGCAAAGATGCATTCTTGACACAGTAAAGACACACTGCTAAGCAACATGAGCTTAATGCCATTTGTCCACAATGTCATCAAGCTGTATTTATTTGTGTTCATAATCTGTCAATTTTAACCCCTTTGCGCCGGGAAGCGGCTATAACTGCCGTAAACATTGAGATCCTCAGCCCGCTTTTAAGCCATTATTCACGGCCCACGCTCGAGCGAACACGGTGAAAGAAGGCAGACCCTGGCTCTTGTGTATGTGGTAATTGGTCTTTGTGCGTAGCCCAGAAATGAAAAGACAGATTTTGCATCATAATCACCAGCTTCACAATAGTCCCCACTTTGAAAAGAGGCAACGGGAATGTGGAAGGGTGACCGAACAATCAGCCTTTTTACCATGTAATTCAAAGCGTGCAGAGCACGCAGGGCCACAAACCGAGAATTTGCAGTTTGGCAGGTGGCCTTCATGGCCAAGCGAGGCTGGAATTCTTGGAGTCGGCTTTCGGGAAGAAATTCCCTTTGTCAAGGGGTTATTGGCTGTTACAAAGTAACGCCAGAACTTTAGTGCAGCTTTCAGATTTGATTTTGAAGTCTGCAGATAACTGTTTGACAGTGTACCCAAAAATGGGACAAAGAAAATCATGGAAAATTTGTACAGGTAGATGGTTTTGGGTATGAATAATGTTTTATCAGAATTTGTTATTTCTAAAAATACTCTGGTATGTCTACATGTATGAAAAATTTGTGATTTGTTCAAGATCTGGGCCTGAACTTCATGACATCAAAATTACTCAATAGGTTCAGTATCTCCAACTATTAAGGTATATCAACATTTAATAGAATGAAATTAGAGCCAGTCAATTGTAGAGGTTTGACGGCACTGAATGGGGGAAGTTGGAGGAATCATCAACAGAGTATGTTACTTTGTGGTAGGAAACCTCACAGTAAAAGTAAATTAAGTTTCTTGATCAGTTGATCAATCTTTCAATGGTATGGATATACTTGCCCATTCAGTTATTATGGTTTAAACACTTTTGGCACGTGTTCAGGTGGGTTTTTGATTTTAGTGGTCTATAACTGTAGTACAGTGGAACGCCGCTAATTTTAACGAACACGGTGGGGTCAACGCTAGATTTTCGGTACAGCGGTCGTTCGGTATAGCAAAATTTACTGCTGAACGTTTTGTTGCCATGTTGAATAGCACCCTCTCTTGTCTAACTGAAGTGCACCCTCTTGTGATACCATGATTCACTGTTTTTGTAATGTTTTGCTGTTGCATTCATGTTTAAGGTTTCTCAAAATGTATCTGTTAATCACTTTTGTTTCTTATTAGATCTTAAGTTACAAATTGATTTCAAGTTTATCCTAAAGGTTGAGAAGCTACCTTTCAAGATCGATCTTTGATGCATTCTGTGGAGAATCTCACTGGCTTGTGTATCAGCAGCGCCCTGTTTAGACTAATGTCAGTGCAATGCCACAGTGCGTGTGCGGTTTTCTTCTGCACCTGATCACGTGGAGTTGCAAAACCAGTGTCCATTCAATACCGTTGGCAGATTAACCATGCCTACTAGAAGACGACTTTGAACAAGTGCGGACCAATGTATCCAGTTTCTCAGCTAGTTAATTGCAATTAACTCTTCAACAACTAGCGGCTTTCCCTTCTTGTTCTTGGAGAAAACCTGACTGTTTTATCAAGTTGACGTTCAGGAATTACAAACGACGACAGTATAGAGTTCGGTAGGTTTTATGCACAAAATATTGGGAGCCAAGGACGATGTTCAGTACAGCCGAATGTTTGGTATAGCAGTGTTTGATATAGCGGTGTTCCACTGTAATTGAATAACTTTAGCTCCAGCCCTCCTCAACCTCCAAAAGCCTCTAGATGGTTTAAGGGGATTTGAGGATTGAGGCTGTATGGCAAAACTGACTTACTCTATGCGAAAGATGCATTGCATCAAGGCTGAGGGTTTGACCGGTTGGTAACACTGTGACAGCATTTGAATTCCTTCAACATTTGGGAAAAACTGCTTAAGCCTAAGTTGTACAATATTATTTCCCATTACTATGCTGATTAATTGGAGGTATTAATGTTGGTCTAACCTATAAGGTCTCAGTCATCAGGTCTCAGTCTTGAGCTCTTAAGTTTCAGCTACATCACTGGCAGGGGATACTTACAGCTGTTGAACCATGTCCCGGTCCACATTGCACACAAATAGCACAATCTCCTTTTTCTGTATCCCAGTACTCGTCAGGAGCTTGGCAGTCCTCTGGTGAAGGTGAATCATTGGCTGGCAATAGCAGCCTAGCTGGACGTCCATTGACTCTATCCTACAGGATTGAAAATACAGTTATCAAATCGTGAATGTTACAGGACTGACAGTTTTCAGCCACAAAATTGTTGTCGATCAGTTACACGGAAAAAAACTTGTCCTGGTATGAGGGAAAATGAACCCAACATATGTACTGGGGGATTCAACCTACAACCTCATTGTGAGCATACAGGACTGTATCTGTTACAAAGCTACCTTTGTCCAACACTGGGCTAATCTTGTGGCAGCTACGGTAGAATAAACTGCCACTGTCAATCCTCCGGTTCAAATGGTAAACTGTCCCATCACCAGAAACTGGCTGCATGTCCCTCAGGACTTTCCTTTGTCATTACCACTTACTTTTACCCTTCATTTTGGCTCCTTTAAAATCTAACATTAGTTTCTCGAGGACTTTATACAACTGAGGATGGCTGAACACAGTTAAATGTATTAATACGTGGTTTGTGGCTTATTGACCCTTGAAAATGTACATGGAAGTGTGGGATTTTTTTATCAATAATGTGAGCGAAGAAATTAATATTGCTTGAAATAATGGAAAGCAATTCTTAGATGCCTACCCCTCAGATAAATTTTTCAGTTTTCAATTGTTGGAAGCCTAAATACTAACCCCAGGCCCTTTTGGCTAGGATACAGCCTTGGTTCTTCAAAATCTTCCGGAGGATTTGGGAGGATTGAGGGAGGATTGATGGATGGTTAATTTGTAAACTTTAAGATGGACATCACTCACAACTCGGAAATAGCTCTGAAACAGTTGATTAGAGCTCAGTAAAAGTACTCAGAATACCAGAGGGCCTTTAGGATCCATGCATATACACAGGTCCACCCAGGGCAATGATGGGAGATACTGAGATGATTCTTGTGCTCTACTGACATTTCCTGCACAGTACATCCATGCAGACTGCTCATGTTTGCACATGTATTGCAGCATGCACACGCTATGTCTTGGTCCAATCAAATGCTGTCAACTGCTTTGTAAAACCAACCAGTTTTGTTCATGCAAAACAGCACTCTACGTTCGGTAATATGGTTTTGAAAGGGGGTCGTTGACACACGTGCTATTCGCTTTCTTTATGAAACCTTGGATTTACAAATGAATACATGCAGAAAGCATTCTTACCAGAACTGACACCAGCAGGATACCAGTTACTGCACATTGCAAAGAGCTCATGATTCCATCGTCACCTCATTCTCCAGAAAAATGAAAACAGACTACACAATCTAATGGTCTGGAACTGTATGAAAAAAAAGATGAACTGAGAACACTAAGAAACAGGTTCAAACTCAGTATTACATGTGTGTGATTGGAAGGCACTACGAGGTTCTTTTCTGAGTGAAAACTCTGGTAAATAAAGTTCATGCTTGCATATTGGGTTTACGTACTTGACTGATTGTCTTAGTTTGCATGCAGAAAGAAAGACATGTCGGTACAGAAAGCATTAATGGAGAGTTCCTGAAGAAACTCTATGCAAACATAGATGCAGGCAGTGGGTAAGGTTGTAGTTTTTTTTAATACATGACGATGACTGCTGGTTAACCAGTTAATGACAGGGAACCATTTGCCACTTCACAACACAGGCCATGTAAACACAAACTGTCCAGATGGGCCTGACTGGTGGGTTAAACCATCAAGCAGGCCTCAACTCACCTCCAGCTGATATTTCAAGAAGTCTATCCCCCGTTCAATTTGTATGCACATCCAAAGTGGAAGGGGTTTGTGGAGGTAGATGTGTTGAACTTGCACTTGGCAGCTGTGCACGGCACGAAGTAGCAAATATTGCTCTGTGGGCATGCCCTGGACTAATGTGAAATATGAGGTTGTGGTAAGAATTTTTGTACACATAAACACTGCCCAAGTTCTCAGAATCAATATTTATCGAATTTGGTTTATGTTGGCTGCTAGTGTGCCAAAGTGAATAAGCCACACGCAGTGAAGGGCAATAATATTGCGAGACCTAGTGAGTGAACCAACAAGTTCATGTGTCGAATTAATCTGAAATCACACTTCTACACTCTGTAGCTTACCATTTTCGAAAAGTGAACTTCTGGCCGAAAACATGAGAACAATAATACGGTAGGTCTTCTCAAATAATGTCACGTCCTACAGATTGACATGTGAACATGGTGTTATGAATGTCAAATTTTCGTGGTGCACATTGGCTCCAGAATATTTAACAGAAATTTGGATGAATACAGACAGATGTACTGAACATGTGCACACTGCATACACCTGATGATGTTATGTTGAACACAGTTGATGCACTTTCCATTATGCATGCAACATCCAAAACATCAGTTTTCAAAGTCTTTGTACAAATTTGACTAAGACTGGCCAACAATATGTTGACCACCACAGGACAGTTAAGTTCACAAAAAAACAACATGCGCTGTTTCATCACAAGGAGTGATCATGAGATCTCACAAAATACCTTTTTGGGTAATTTCTGTAATAAAAATGGTTCAAATAAAACACATCTTATAAACTACTTGGCTATTTACAGTCGAACCTCATTAAAAAGAGCACTGTTAAAACAAGATCCTGCTTAAAACAAGGACATTTTTAGGTCCCAATCCTTTGTTTATTGTTTTTATTCCTGATAATAATGAGCCATTTGCGAGTTAAATTCAAATAAATTCTGGTACACTGAGTTATCTGATTGCACATAAACATAACAATTGAATTCCCCAGACTAAAGACACTGTTGCTATACCTTATGATTCAGGGCAAGCTTTTGCATAGTGACCACCATCTCTGGAATGGACTGGTCCCGTTGTGCCCTTCTTATCCATTGAAAACAGTGTATTGTCACAAGGCCTCCCTTATGTAACTAAGCACAAGCTTGCCCCGAATCACGAGGTATAGCAACAGTGGTTTTAGAATGGAGAATTCAAGTTGTTATGTTCACGTGAATTTAAAGAACTCAGTGTACCAG